GATCATGACCTGAGCCGAAGGCAGTCGCTTAACCAACTGAGCCACCCAGGCGCCCTCTTTCTTTCTTTTTTAAGAAACTGAGTATTTATTTAGAATGAAAAGAGATATTACAACAAGTCAGTGACCTGGCCCCACTTTCTTAGCACTCATTATCCCGGCAGATGCCCCGGGTTCCTGGTGTAAGTGCTTGTAACTCTCCTCTCCTCTCCTCCCAAGGCCCATACACGGGGGTAACGAGGTGGGAGCATGGGGGAATTGATGCCTCTGGGAGCCAGCTACTTTTATGAAGTACAGGTTGGACACCTTGGTGGGTGGGAACCCACTAAGATATATCCCACCCAAACACCCAGTTGTCCGGTAGCGCCAAGCCCCAGCTGCCAACAGCCCCAATAAGAAACCCTTTATCAACAGCCTTCCCTTCACTCTCTCATTTCCTCATTCCCTTGCTGGTATACACTTGTCATTTCTAACATCTTCCGAGCAATCCCAGGGCCGCACCTTATGCCCTCAGCTGTGGATGTGCTAATACATGAACCAAAAATATAATACCACTGAGTACATGCTTAAGTCAAAGAGATTTCACTGCATAAGCAAACTCTGATTCATTCATGCAGGCTGTCTGAAGGTTGTCGAGGATTCTTGGCTCAACAGGAAAAGGTGCCACAATTGATTAGCAATGTCTGCCATGGGCAGGAAAGTGGGCAAGTGGTGACCTGCTTGGCATGTCTAGGCATTACCTAAGTATTGTCAGCCGGATCTCAAAGCCTGGGGAATAATCCTCATAGTGGATGATCTTGGCAAAGATCATTGGGGTGATAAAATTGGCCAGCGTAATCACAATAGAAGGCAGGTACAATATCAAAAGGTTCTCTCCAAAAACCATCTTGTCAATTTCCTATGAAGATATCAAAGGGAAGTTACATCACAAATGAATTGACCTTGAAAGAACTTAACTATACGTGCGTCAAGTCATTATACTGTACACCTTATATGTTATATGTCAATTATACCTCAATAAAACTGGAAAAAAACCTCAACTATACATATTTAGATAAACAAACAACACAAAACATACATGTCATTCAACATGGCCTCTAAACACAAGCCATTTCTGGGGCGCCTGGGTGGCTTAGTCGCTTATCTGACTCTCGATTTTGGCTCAAGTCATGATCTCAGGGTCATGAGATCAAGCCCCATGTCTGGCTACGCACTGAGCATGGAGCCTGCTTGGGATTCTCTCTCTCCCTCTCTCTCTGTCCCTCACTCTCTCTCTAAAAAATTTTTAAAAATAAAAATAAACATAAGCCATTTCCTTCTTTGGATGTTCAAATAGAGGTATCATGCTCTAGTACCACAGAAAGAAAAATTAGCTCTAGTGGATTAAGGTCAAGTTTAAAAAAAAAATCCATGTAGTCTGTATCTGTGGGTAATTTAAAGTATTTTCAAGGCCATAGTAGTTATTGATTTGGACTAGCCATTCGCTCCGTTCAGAGTAATAAACTATTTGGCCACATATACAGCTATCTGGGATAAAACTATTATTTCCTGGCCTCCCTTATAGTGAGGTACAGCTATCTGACTAAATTCTGGCCAAAGGGATGTGAGAAGATGTTTTAAGTGCAAGCACTTAAAAGGTCTTGTCCTTGAAGAAAAGGGTATACCTTCCCATCCCCTTCACCTCCTTCCCATTGGTTAGAATGTGGACATGCTGAACTATCTTGTACCATATAGGAAAGGGTGTACCCTAAGGATGGCAGAGCCACAAGACGGAAGGAACCTGGACTCCCCCCCACACACTCCAATGATTGATTTCATGAATCAAAGCCACCAGACCAATGTACATTTTTAAAACCACTGCTATTTTAGGTAAACTGGAGCCCCAGCTAGTAAGTAGTGGAGTTGAGGATTAAATCTAGGTAGGTAAACTTGAATTTGAATATTATGGATTCTAGGAGGAATTCCAAACACTCTTTTTGGATGCTCCTGTATTTTTATTAAAAGTAGAAATTGAGGGCGCCTGGGTGGCTCAGTCGGTTAAGCGACTGCCTTTGGCTCAGGTCATGATCCTGGAGTCCTGGGATCGAGTCCCACATCGGGCTCCCTGCTCAGCAGGGAGTCTGCTTCTCCCCCTGACCCTCCCCACTCTCATGCTCTCTCTATCTCATTCTCTCTCTCAAATAAATAAATAAAATCTTTAAAAAAAAAAAAGTAGGAATTGGGGGCTCCTGGTTGGCTCAGTTGGTTAAGGGTCTGCCTTCGGCTCAGGTCGTGATCCCAGGGTCCTGGGATTGAGCCCCGCATCGGGCTCCCTGCTCAGCAGGGAGCCTGCTTCTCCCTCTCCCCCCTGCTCATGCTCTCTCTCTCTTGCTATCTCTCTCTCTCTCAAATAAATAAATAAATAAAATCTTTAAAAAAAAGATAGAAATTGGTCACCTCTGATTTTCAGTTCTCTGTCATAGCAGTCAAACTGATATCCTTATGTATAAAACAGAAATGATGACAGTCTCTATGTCAGAGGCTTGTAATGCACTTGGCATACCTAATGTCCAACCAGAGTAAAAGTTAAGCTGGCTTTCACAGAGTACTTACTTTTTTCATGTGCTCTTGTGAGAATATTGTCGCTCTGTAGATTGCATAAAAGCACGCGGCTAAAACGGCCAGAACAATACAGTTCAAAAACAGTCTCAGAGAGTAAATCCGTATTGTCTCTTCTGTTGTTCTTTCTGCTATCTTCTGCCGTATTCTTTCTTCCTCCAGATCTGCCTGAGGGCCAAAGAAAACTCATCTGTGAGCATGGGGTGAAGCGATATTCAGGGGTGGAACCTGTGATTCATCCTCATACCCCATCCATCCATCTTTAAGACCTTCCTTAAATAAAAAAAATGATCTCTGTGTAGATATCTTCCCAGACCAAGCCCAACTAGCTTTCATGTCTACTAAGGGTCTAAGTCAAGATAGAACCTCCTAAGACTGCAGTTAGGGGCGCCTGAGTGGCTCAGTCAGTTAAGAGTCTGCCTTCAGCTCAGGTCATGATCCCAGGGTCTTGGGATCAAGCCCTGCATTGGGCTCCCTGCTCAGCAGGGAGTCTGCTTTTCCTTCTCCCTTGGCTGCTCCCCCTCACTCATGCTCTGTCTTTCAAGTAAATAAAATCTTTAAAAAAAAAAAAAAAGACTGCAGTTAGACTTCACAATAACTGTGAAAACAGAAGCATAACCTATCCATGGCATTACTTAGATGTAGTATGTGTCATTCCTTTAGACAAAGAATACATTTGGTTTGAGCCCTTCCATCTCACTTTATTATGCTTTTGTTATGATCGTCTCCTCCATTTTTGGGTGGGTTTGTTCAAGATTCCGTTTGTTCCTCTTTCTCTCCTTATGAATCTGGAAATTCTCTTGTACTTTTTCCTATTCTCTCCACTCCACCTTATCATCATAGCATCCCCCCCCTAGTTCTAGTTTCTCCTGGTATAAGTGATGCATGACAGGTTCTCATCAGGTGGAAAAATAACAGTATAAGGTGGTGGGGAAGGAGGGAAGACACCATTCCCTCCCACCCACCCTCGTGTGCCCACCTCCCGCCCATCCCCAGTCCACCAACTCCATGCTTCAGTGAAGGTGATCAACCCCAGGAGGCAGTTCTCCGTGGAAAGTTCTTTCTTTTTTTTTTTTTTTTTAAGGTTTTTTTTTTTTATTTGACAGAGAGAGACACAGCAAGAGAGGGAACACAGGCAAGGGGAGCGGGAGAGGGAGAAGCAGACTTCCCGCCGAGCAGGGAGCCCGATGCGGGGCTCGATCCCAGGACGCTGGGATCATGACCTGAGCCGAAGGCAGACGTTTAACCGACTGAGCCACCCAGGCACCCCCTCTGTGGGAAGTTCTTGAAGACGACACGGGAAACTTGCTAAGCACTAGAGACAGCCTGGGCCGCACCCAGCTCCTCTGCAAGCTGCAGCCCCCTGGCTTTCCAAGGCACGACTTGGCGGGCAAGGACCCCGCCAAGAGAAAACCCAGCAGCACTCACTCGGAGCTCGTACCGCAGGCTGCTGTGCTTCAGGTCCGCCATGCCGCGGTTGGTGATGCAGAAGTCCCAGCCGGCAAAGATCTTGTTGCAGTAACTCTGGAAGTGCTCCTCACTCCGGATCAGGTTGATTTTGAACCCTTCCACTGACCTGGCCCCAAAACACGATGACCCTTCTTAGAAGAACAACAAAATACAGGCCCGTGGATTGGCTTTGTTGACAATATAAAAACATTATACATGGCTGCATTTTCCACTCGTTTTGACAGGGACAAGTCTGGACCATGCTACATATGTGTGGCAGCTAACCAGGTAGCTCACGGTGGAAAATCATTTCCTTTCATCTATCCAAGGGCTTTTCTCATAGTTGGAATAAAATCCAAACTCTTTAGCACAGCCTAGAGAGACTGCACTACGCCATCTTTCCTCCCATTCGGCCATGCTGCTGGGATGACCATGGCTTTTTTCCTGTTCTATAAACTCACAAACTTCTCTGGCCTCAGGGCCTTTGTACTTACAGGTCCGCTCTACCCATTCCTCAGTCAATTCTTCCCCTGCCTCTTCTCATGGATGCTTCTTTCCCATCATTCAGGCGTCAGCTCAAATATCCCTCCCAAAGATTCCTCACCACCCCTTCTAAAGTTGTGACCCCTCACTTCAGGTTAGTCTATTTTATTCACAGCATTGAATCTAATCTGCAGTCATTATGTGTTTACTGCCTGTAGCCCCTTATCCTGACTACATTTTAAATTCCTTGAGGGCAGGTACACAGGCTTTCTTGCCACGTTTATATCTGGAATGCCTGGACTCCAGGCATGGAGTAATATGACCACGATCCAGCTGATGGATAAATGAATAAATGACTTAAATAGTAAAATAACCAAATATTTAGTGAGCACCTGTTCAGGTCAGATGCCATGCTGTCGCACACTTTGTAATTTTAATTCATTTAACTAACTAAAATTTAAATAAAAATTTTAAAATTTAATTAATATTCCTTGCTATTCATTTCTTGGGAATTGGCATCTCCCACTGAACCGCCTGTCTACCATGGAAAATACGAGGTTCTCGTATGATCTTGACCTACTGGCTGTCGTTGAAGGGTCAGAGTTGGGTACCTGAATGAAGAGCCAACACGTCTCTTCAAAAGGATTTCTGAACCTGTGACCTTGGGAGTCTACATAAGGAAGCTGCCACCAGGAGAATCACCAGGGATGAAGGAGCCCTTGCTTTTGGTGATTTGGAAGACATACCCATATCCTTATCCTTCCTGTAATTTGGAGTTTCCTCCCTTCCTTGGTTCTCTCAATTCCCCTTTACTCTACTTAGTCAGAGTTGGGTTTCTGCCACTTACAACCCAATAGAGACCTGATTAGCAACCACACCAGATCAAAGAGGTCACATTACAGCCCTGACAAATGTGTGCTATAATGATTTGGCTGTGGTTCCAGATCCCAAATCTTGCCTCCGTTACCTCCAGGTCTCCTTGGCCTACAATGTATCACAAACTTTTCTTCCCATATACCTGTTATGGGACTCTGGACTCTGCTCATCATTTGGGCAATGGCTCCCAGAGTCCACAGACCACCAATAAACCCCAGCCATCAAGGGTAATTCAAAAAGAATGCGATGACCTGATAAATTTTACCTTTTCACTATCCAAAGAAGGCTCAGGGCCAGGTAGGCAATTGTGCTTAACAAATAAGCCAGGGGCAGATCATAGGTGAAGTTCTGAAATTTTACTCCATCAATGGTGTAATGTCCATAAAAGAGGCAGGTCTCCTCCAAGAAACCCTGAAACAAAGCCAAAGGCATGAGGTCAGACTGGTTACGTTCACTGCAGGGAACCAGAAGACCAGTCTCTGCCTCAAGGAACCCACATTCCAGTGTCATAAGGAGTGCTCAGCTAGTGTCTGGGGAACAAAGCATGGATAAAACCTGAGCGTTAAAAATACAGAAGTGTGGGGGCGCCTGGGTGGCTCAGTCGTTAAGCGTCTGCCTTCGGCTCAGGTCATGATCCCAGCGTCCTGGGATCGAGCCTCAAATCAGGCTCTCTGCTCCGCAGGAAGCCTGCTTCTCCCTCTCCCACTCCCCCTGCCTGTGTTCCCTCTCTTGCTGTGTCTCTCTCTGTCAAATAAATAAAATCTTTAAAAAAAAAAATACAGAGGTGTGTGATCCAAAAATGAAATTAAGAAAACAATTCCATGTGCAACAACAGCAGAAAGGGTAACATACTTAGGAATAGATTTAACATATGAAGTGTAAATCTTACATTCTTAAGACTAGAAAACATTGTTTAAGAAATTAAAGATCTAGGGGTTAAGCATCAGACTCTTGATTTCAGCTCAGGTCATGATTTCAGGGTGGTGAGATCGAGCCCCTACGTTGGGCTCCACACTCAGCACAGAATCTGAGATTCTCTCTCTCCCTCTCCCTTTGCCCCTCCCCCTGCTTATGCGCTCACTTTCTCTCTCAATAAAAAAATTAATAAAATCTTAAAAAAAAAAAAGAAGATACACAATGGTCAATAAGCATATGAAAAGATAGATGCTCAACACCGTGTTACTCATTAGGGAAATGCAAATCAAAACCAAAAAGAGAACCCACTTCACACAAACTAGAGTAGCCGGCTATAATCAAAAAGTCAGGGTAAATACCAAGTATTGACAAGAATGTGGAGACATCAGAACCCTCATACACTGCAGGTGAGAATGTAAAATGGTGCAGCCGCTTTGGAAAAGTTGGGCAATTCCTCAAAAAGTTACACACAGGGTCACCATTTGACCTAGGTATTCCACTCCTAGGTATATACCCCGAAGAATTAAAAAGATCTGTCCCCAGCAAAAACTCACACATGAATGTCCATAGCAGCATTATTCATAATAGCCAAAATGTGTAAACCACCCAAATGTCCACCGTGAATGGATAAACAAAATGCAATATATCTGCACAATGAAATCTTATTTGACCAGAACAAGGAATGAAAGACTGGTAAGATGCCACAACATGGATGAACCTTAAAAACATGCTAAGTCGGGGCACCTGGGTGGCTCAGTCAGTTAAGCGTCTGCCTTCAGCTCAGGTCATGATTCCCAGGGTCCTGGGATCGAGTCCCATGTCGGGCTCCCTGCTCAGCGGGGAGCCTGCTTCTCCCTCTGCCTGCCACTGTCGCTCCCCCTCTATTAAAAAAAAAAAAAAAATAAAAAAAAAAAAAGAAATGTATAAGCTTTGTCTAGAGGAAAAAAAGTTTTTGAATAAAAAAAAAAAACATGCTAAGTGAAAGAAGCCAGAGACAAAAGACCATGTATTATAGGATTCCGT